CTCCAGCTTGCATCACTGGATCCGACCAGCAGTACGAATATAAATTTAGGTGCGAATCGTTTGCCAATGGGGAATTAGTCCATCATTATATAAAATTAGATACTAATACATTTTTTATGGAAGAGGAGCCAAACGAGCATGCAGCTCACCTTATGGTAAGTGATCACCGTCGCCTAGGAACATCTGCAACACCAGGGGAATTGCAGGTAGGTAGCCGGACTTTTACGAAGGAGTAGGCTCTTTCCTTGAAGGTATCGTATCGGTGCGGAAAAACCGCTGGCGTCAGTAAATTCCACAAATTTTTACACAATAACATCGACACCAATAGTCAAACGTCAAAACAAAGCTAACCGCGATCCTAGAATCGCTCTGTATATCAGCTCTTTACAAATGGTCGCGGTTTTCAGTTCTGAAAGCGACTAAAAGTAAAACAAATAAGAAATTAAGATAAGAGTTCGATCCTATTTTCAAAAAAATAAAAAATATTGTGTGGAAATTCCAAAAAATGTTTTTATCCTAATACCCCTCTAACAACCAGACAAAAAGAGAGAGATAGGGAGAGTCCACTTTCCTGTTTTGTTTTGTCCACGTTGCCCCTTTGCCCGAACTTGGCCAATGCTCTCGGTTATATCACCTCACTTCCAATTTATTTTGACAACACCAAAATCAGCTCTACTTTACGTCTCTGGCCAAAAGGGTTCAGATTAAGTATTGTATTGATGTAATACCTTTGACTTTTTAACATGGTTAAAACAACGCAGCTGTTTTCCTGTTAAATATCAATAAAACAGTCTCCAAGGCTGCTGCCTGTACAAATTTGTTACGAATTTTGTCTTATTTCGTTACTGTAATTTTATCATTTACTGGACTTAATAATTATTTAAGGCCAATTTTAACAGGAAACTGTAGTTAGATCATAATTATAATGAGGAAGTTGGTACTAGTAAATTTATATTCAAGGCAATCAAAGCGAATTCTCTAGGTGGTATGGAATTCAATAAGGACCATTTCTGCCTAGTGGTTCGTTGGAGTAGCACCATCCCTTTGCCTATTTCTACCACCAAATAGCAGTGCTTGCATTTCTGTATTTTGGCTGTATACAGGCTGTGAGACATTTCATCTTGGTCCTCAGGGGTGACCACGTCTCTACTGTAGCCTTCTTTGTATGAAGTTCAGTACAGGCGATTTCTAAGCTATTGCAGTTAAATTTCATTGTCCGCGAGCAATAAAGAAAGTTATTTGTAGTTATTATTTTGTTAATCTTTTTTTATTGTTGTGAATGAATAAATATTACGCTCTTTCTTTCCTCGCGTGAAAGTCCTTTCTTTTAAAAAGCGTGTTGTGTAGACACCACACTTTTTTTAAAGGATATTTATATTCTCTTCTGTATATTTTCTTCACCTGGTAAGTGACTACCGCAGCCCATGGACACCTGCAATCTAGTTCTAACAGGAAGACAACAGATGCGTTGTTACTTCTGGAAACTAAGGTAGATCCTTTAGAGGCTGTTTGTCTGGCTAGCTGTATGGGCGCGTTGGGTGTATTAAATAACCTACGTGTGTTAAATATATTATAATATTTGACATTCCATTCATCCATTACAGCCTATAAAAATCTACTGCTAAACATAACCCTCCTTGATAGATTCCCCACATACCTATAAAGGGGGGATGTTCCCATAGTTGCCTCGCTTGAGAGGTGGGTAAGCAACCACAATTTTTTTAAGTTTTAAGTTTTTATTAAGAAGATAATGCTGCCCATCTTCACAGCACATAATCCACCTGATGGTAAATGGATGCTGTGGCCTATAGACATCAATATCTACCCTTAATTAAGAATCAAAATGCAGATGCGTTTTGCATCCCTGAGGACTGACCTGACCATACGCAGCACATTGGTCCTTTCACGGTCGAGTTGACCCATCCGCGCTACAACTATAACATTGCAGCATCATGTACTAGGGTTATTGGATATTTTTACAGTGCAACTACATGGTTAATATTTGACATTATAGAGTCATTAAATCAAAAAGTTTGAAATTGATCCAAGTACATTTAGAATTAGGATTTTTTCCTTTCTTACTTTTTATTTAGCTTTATTTAGGTTCATACTCCCCACCATGAGCTAGCAGATCAGTGAACACAGAAACGATTCACATACTTTAGTAATGCTGCGCCGCTTCCCACCACCAGCCTTTTAGATTAGGGTTCAGCATTTCAATGGGTTATCCGCCATCGACAGAGTCTTGTCTATGATTCAGAAGAGTGCACTGCGTGCAGGAGAGAACTACATTTTTTATAGAGGTAAAGATGACAAACAAGCACACAGTCCACCCGGTGGTATGCAAATGCTGTGGCCCATAGGCACCTACATATTTATCCTCGATTAAGGATCAAAATGCAGATGTACTGTTAACCCCTTAGGATTAAGATGGAAAACCTTGATACCAGTAAAAGGGGTCCTTATGACGAAACTTTAGGTGAGGTTGATATTTGTAGACAAAAGTGTACCAATATCAGTGGATGTGATTGCGTGTATGTGGTCAAAATTTGGCTTTTAGCTGCTTACTGTATGAGGAAGCTTCTCAGCTATGGTGAAAGCTACACTAAACGTTGTGTACGATAGAATCCATTACTAAATTATCATTAGTAAAACCAGAAAAACCTACGCAGCTGAACAGAACAATATTTTGTACTATGAATAAGCCGAAGAATCAACAAGTTTTATTATACGTGGTAGAGCCATGCGGCAGCTATATTAGTAGTATAGTTGTAGCACGAATAGGTCAGCTCGACCGGGGAAGAACCACGCTCTCACAGAATACCAGCGTAAAATAGCAGCTTAACACTGCTGTGTTTCGTATGGTGAGTGTAGAAAACCGGAGACCCTTTTTACTGAAAAATAGGCATTCCATCTTAGTCCTCACGGGTGACAACGCATCTGCATTTTCATTCTTTATTGAGGATAGATGTAGATGTATAGGGGTTACAACAACCATTTACCATCAGGTGGACTGCGTGCTCGTTTGTCACCCGATCCTATAAAAAAAAAGTTATGGGTAAGAAAGTTTTCGAGTGGCAGTTTCGTACTGGTAAGCGTAGTAGGCCGGCCATATAATTTGATGGAGTGATGACTTAGTATGCCACTAGATGAAGATGAAGTGACAGGCCTTTTTATGTAGAAATTAGAAGGATACACATAGCTCAATTCCATGTTTAGTGGCAGGCTTTAGTTTAATTCAGCAAAGGACACTGGATGAGATTTAGTAATGTTGATGAAGACGTCTGAAGACGTCTGGAGACGTCTAAATGGGGTAACCCATTTTTTGTGTCCGAGCAGTTATGCAGGTCCAAAATGGCCAATATCACTGTGACCAATAAGATCTATTTTGATCGCGTATAGTTCACTACTAAGCCCCATGTCTCCAATGAATTGAAGGAGTTGCTTAGCTGTGAGCAATTTCACTTCTTCTGGCTTAAGTACATAGTATCCCTGATGAGTGTTACGTTTGCGCATTAAGGGTCCACAGCTAGTTAGGATGTGCAGAGGCGTTTCTTCCGTTAAAGAACAGAACCGGCACGTCCTTGAGTTGCTTAGTTTCAGGATTGACATGTGTTTTATTTAGACAACAGTGTCTAGTCAGTTTACTTAGTCCCAGGGCTTCTGAAGCAAGTTGACGATCATAAGCCTGGATTAAGGCTTTAGAATGTTTTAAGCCTGGTGTATCAGACTAGATCCTGTGTGATTTATTGTGATAAAGAGTATCAAGGGTCGTATGTAGGAATAAGAAGGATACACATAGCTCAATGCCATGTTTAGTGGCAGTCTTTAGTTTAATTCAGCGAGTCACACTGGATGGGATTTAATGATGTTGATGAAGACATCTGAAGACGTCTGGTGACGTTTCAATGGGGTAACTCATAGTGGGTGAGTAGTTAATTTCCTTTATTACCAGCTATAACTAATTAGTAGTCCTTTTTCATTAAATTTTATTTTATTTAAAAGTTCTTTTCTAAAAACAAAAAAATAATGGTTCAACAGATTAATTAATGTTTCTGAAAACAAATGCCACAAACAAACTAAAAAGTCATATCTATGACCGTAGTAGAACAGAGTGCATTTGACTGTTGGAGTGGTGCCCATCATTTAACAAAATGTTTTATTTTAAATAGAACGTGTTTTATACCTGAAGTAACACACTTATATTTAGTAACTTTCTTTTGTTTTGGAACTGTCAAATAAACAAAACATTTTTTTATTAAATGGTTACATTTTTCACTTTCTTTTTAGTTTCAAATACATAATGACCGTAAAAGTTAAATGAGTAAATCTGGAAATACCTATTTTAGGATTTTAAGGTTAAGGTAGATTTTAATTCTTAGGTAATTTTACTTTCATAGGCCATTTTTCATTCTTATTTTATTTTCAATATTTATTTCCTTTTGATTATTGAAGAAACTAGTGGCATACGTTTACAGACATTGGGTCTGTAAACGTATGCCACTAATTTTTTCAAACTGGTTACATGGTTAACGGTATCTGAAATGGTTAATATACAACATTTTAAAGTAGTTGTTAAATTTTACGATATTCTTTTATATCTGGTTTGTTATGTCTAGTTTTAAGTATATAATATTATCTTCATCATATGTTTTCCTTATGAAGTGTGACTTACTCAGCTGGATCGATACACGCATATAACCAGCGACGCGAGTCACGCGGTGTGCTCGTGGGGGCGTCAATTTAACTCTACACAAATTCTTACCTCTCCTTGGAATTGATTTGTCTCGATACCTGTGATCGATCCCTAATCCTTGTAAACTTTGTTAACAAACAACGTTTTTGTAGATATAATTGTATCCATTTCTTTGCTTACCACACTTTATGTAGGTATATGAGTTCAACACCGTTTATATGGTAAATGCGAAACACTGTTACACTATATATGACTATAACATTGAAACAACGTACTGAAAACGTCCCTCTATGCTGGCACTCACCTGGCACTCGTGACACGTGTGTACTGAGAAGGGCTGGTCGCAGTCGTAGCGATCGAGGATGCTGACGAAGTCGCAGTGCACGCGCGCGACCATCGCGTCAAGGGAAAGGAGATCGCGTAGCGTGCGCTCGCAGCGGTCCCCGCCGGCGAGCACGTCGGCGCGCGCGCCGCGGTCGAGCGCGGAGGCGGGTGAGCGTTCGCAGCAGGCGCGCAGCCGGAGCTCGGCGAGGCGTCGCGCCCGCGCGCCCGCCGCCAGCGCGCACAGGTGCGGCACGTCGCGCCCCGCCAGCGCCTCGGGCTCGGCCGCGCCACCGCCGCCGCCGCCGCCGCCGCACGCCGCACGCACTCGCCCGCACTCGTGCTCGCCGCTCGCGCCCTCCTCCTCCAGGTCGCACGCGCTCAGCCAGGGGTTGAGGCGCGCGAGCGGACTCACGGCCAGGCCCGCGGCCGCCATCAGCAGCAGCAGCAGCAGCGGCGGCGCTCGCATGGCGGGGGCGGCGCCGCTAGCGGGGGCCGGCCCGCCGGGCGCGGCGCTGCCTCATACCGCATCGCGCATGGCGACCTACTCGCGCGGCCCGGGCCGCGGGGCCGCCGCGCGGGGTGGGCGCGCCGCCATGTCGCTCGCTCGCCGCTCGACTGACTCCCCCCGGGTACGCATCGATCGCCCCGCGCCCCGCGTCCCGCACCCAGCTGCGCGCGCCCCAGGGCTCTACCGCCGTTATGTAACCGTGCGCGCGCACCTTGGGACCCGCCCGCCGCCGCGCCCGCCCTCTTACGACTATCACTGAGCTTACGCCCGCCCTGAGCTTTCCAAAACCTCAAATTAAGTTTTTATCTTTTCTAATATTACACAGATGGCGTTACTGTAAGGAATGAAATTAAGAAGTACTAAACTCTGTGAAGTAGAGCAATTTGAACAAAAACTTTATGTTTTTTTTTATTTTATTAAACGTTCGTGTTTTATTGATGTAAAAGAGAAGTGTGTCCGTATTTGTAAGTATACTTGTAACACTATTACGTTTACATCCCGTTTGCAGTTATAGATTTCGATTAGTCACTGTGGTCATAAGTCAGTTAAGAAAAACTGACAAAAATGATTACTCGTCGTTATCATCCATTACAGCGTATAAAAGTCCACTGCTGAACATAACCTCTCCCTTAGATTGCCCAATTTACCATAGTTGCCACGCTTAGAAGGCAAATTGGCAACCGCAGTATTTTTTTTATTTTAATTTGTCATCAGGAAACTGCTGCTGCCCATCTCCAGTTTCAGTTTCCCTCTGTCGCCTACGTCACCCACAAGACAATATGGGTTAGAGGACATTCTTACACTGCCACATACATAGTTATTAAAAATATTTTTTACAATTTAAGCAAGTTTTTTATTAAGCTACGTCCATCATTCACACTTACTAAAGCACTTACACAAGCACAGAATACCTGCGTAAAACAGCAGCTGTAGAGAACCGGAGACCTTTTTTATTGGAAACGAGGCATTCCGTCGTAGACTTCAGGGGTGAAAACGCATCTGCATTTTGATTCTTAATCAAAGAAAAATTTAGATGTCTATGGGTCACAGCATCCACTTACCATCAAGTGAACTACGTAATCATACGTCAGCCCCATTCTAAAAGAAACTTGATTTCAGTTCTATATATACGAGTATATAGTTCGCCCATGATGGACGCCCAACAACGCATTCAAGTCACGAGTTTCATTGATTAAATTCGTATGTGGTGAAGTTTTAATGGAACTAAAAGAGTTTTTTTATAAAACTGAAGTGCCACACAAACTTATAGTCTATTTACGTGGTAGAGCCATGCTGCAGCTATATTAGTAGTATAGTTGTAAATCAAATGGGCCGGCTCGATAGGGAAAGGACCACGCTCTCACAGAATACCAAAGTAAAATAGAAGCTTGACGCTGCTGTGTTTCGTATGGTGAGTGTAGAAAACCGGAGACCCTTTTTACTAGAAAAGAGTCATTCCATCTTAGTCCTCACGGGTGACAACGCATCTGCATTTTGATTCTTTATTTAGGATAAATGTAGATGTCTATGGGTCACAGAAACCACTTACCATCAGTTGAATTGTGTGCTCGTTTGTCAGCCTATCCTATAAAAAAATCTAATGTTAATTAGTTGCTGCAGCCCATAGACACTTGCAACCAACTTCAAACAAAGAAGGAAACAGGTGCTTTGTCGGCTCCGAGAACTAAGATGAGACGTCTTACAGTCTGCAAATATACAGACTTTCTATACCCTTCAGATTGGAACATGTTCAGAGTGGCACAAATAGTATAAGAGTGTAAGAAAAAATCGAATACTTAAACGACTATAGGTAAGAAAATAGATGAATAGGAGAAACATATACGGCGCAAGTACAACTTTGTTTCATGAGCTAGCAACAAAAGATATTTTTTGTACTGAAGAAGTCGCAAAAGACTCTATTATCTACTGTATAAAGTTAACCATTTAATATTAAAATATTGTAATGCAATGTGTATTAGAAGCATCGATGCACGTGCACAATGTACAAAAGACGATATGTTCTGCTAAACTTATGCATAATGCACTAAACTAAATTGTGTGTGTCCAAATGTGTCAAGAGCTTAAACCACGCCTACAAACTCAACGGAAAATTATACCAAATTTTGACTTTTCGTTCAGTTGGCAATTATATCCATATCACTTATTTACTACCGTACTTACTACTACAGATCATTTAAGCAACAAATTAGTTAAAATTTTGTTATTTACTTAACTACTTAACATTTTCTGTGAACCACCCACCATTTAGCTCGTTTGTCACATACTACTCACTGTTAACTTTCCATTTGGTCACTAAGAAAGTAAGTTCGTCTTTTTTTAACTACATAAGCTAGAGCTAGAGTATTGTGTACTCAGTCTATGTCAGTTTACACACCAAGCGTTGTTTTATCAATGTTTTCAACGTTATGTGATACTATGCATTTATGTAGCAAATATCACAAGACGCTGTTTGACTTTAAAACTGGGAAGTTTACAGAAAATGCCATATTATATTTAAATCAGGCGGTCTAAAAGTACAAAACAATACCAACTGTTGGTTAACGCTTGTTTTGTGCTTTAGAGCTTTCGATATTTTAAGCTCTTTGAGTTTCTCTGGCAAAAATTAAGAACAGGACTTTTAGAAGCGATTATCAATATTTTTACTACAAATGTCTTGGTTTTAAATCTCATAGTAATATGTTTTTCATTAGAAACGTATGTGAGTTCCATGGCCTGGAGGTTTAACGAAAACTTATCGTAGTAAAATATTTTTTTTCCATAAGCATGCGCTATTTTGTTCAAGACTTTAGTTACGACTTTTGTACTTTAATTACGACTTCAAAAACGAATTTTTTTTTTCAAGTAATCGTCACCTTTATTCAGGGTGACAAACGAGCACACAGTTCACCTGATTGTAAGTGGTTGCTGTGGCTCATAACCATTTACATATTATTATATATTCGGTTTATTTTTATTGATAACGCTGTGGACTAAAGTGGAATACCTCGTGAAGTTGTATAAAATCAAAAGTATAAAATAAAAAAATAATGCAAAATGAGGAACCGCCAAAGAAAGTTCAATCATTAAGGGTACCAAGATTTCTTTAAATGCAAATCAGTAGACAAAAGGCAACTGACAGACGCGGAGAAAACCATCCAAAAACCATCATCGTTTCGATTGTGCGCCCTAGGGTGTAACAACAAGGTCGTTTTCAGATGGTTTGCAATTTGAATCGGAGCCATTTTGTGAAATCTCAAAAAACCTGGCCCGATTGACCTTTGTTACTCTTTATCACAATAAATCACTTATGAACTGGTCCGATACACTAGGCTTAAAACATTCTAAAAACTCAATCCGGACTTATGATCGTAAATTCGCTTCAGAAGCCCTGGGATTAAGTAAGAATAAATTGCGATTATGGCAAGAGCTCTCACTGGACATTGGTGTCTAAAAAAGTACATGTCCATCCTGGGACTAAGCAAATCAAGGATGTGCCGATTCTATTCCTTAACGGAAGAATCACTTCTGCATATCCTAACAGATTGTGAAACCTTAATGCGCAAACATAACACGCATCTGGTAAAGTACGTACCTACTTAGCCCAGAAGAAGTGATATTGCTCACAGCTAAGCAACTTCTACAATTCATTGTAGGAGTTATAGGGCTTACCGTTACCGTGACTGACAGTGTTTGGATGTTATAACCGTAGACAATTTAGCTAGGAGAACATTAACAATAATAATTAGACTATATTTCATTAAACCAGCTATTAACAATAAAAATATTAGATAACCAACGTTGCCAAAAGTTATTCATCGTATCATCTACGACACTTATGTGTACAATATTGCGCATTGTTCAATGATTGCCTGTATAATTGGGCAGGCGCGAGCGCTACTTGACGTTCGCTTTGCGGAAATGGTTCAGCGAGGCTGTGCGGCTTCAGAGGCTATCCTTGTCACACATAAGAAAATGTACTATTCATCTCTGTTACTCAAAGCAAGCGTAACGCGCGCGCAGGTTAAGTGCATTCACTCCCGCGCAGCGTCATCAAGTAAACAACGTACAACGCAGAAAAAAATTGTGTCCTAACTTTATACGTCAAACAAGTAAGACACAATCATTTTATATAACATTTAGTGACAGTGATTGTGCTTATATATCTACTATCAAAAGTATTAAAAATAAGCGTGCCGTGCTTACGTTGCCACAATTTGCTAGATTAAGAAATTTGAGCGAAGGTCAAATTTCATCATAATGGACGCAACAAGTAAGTACAGCAAAATCAGATATTTATAATAAAAAAATGTTTAAGTAGTTATCGTCTAAGTATTGGCCACGTCATGGAAATATATACCTAAAATCTTTCATTACTCCTCAGTGACGTTTCTCTTAAAATATCCATGATGGTTTAAAATATAAAAAAATCTTATATTGCTGGTGATAAACGCGATAAAATTATCTCCGATGACAACATTCATTTTGGATTCATTCCTTTTCTGCATCTTCTTTCCTTCTTTCTTTATCTTTATTCTCTCTAATATAAGTTATTTATAACCGAGTTAAAAAACTTTTTGGAAAGTACTTTTGAAATTCGACACTTTTTCTTATTATATGTTTACCGATTTAAAATATACTTTTTTTTATTAAATAGGTTATACTTCAGCGGTGGTCCCATATAAATTTAAAGAAAAAATTCTATGCCTTAGGTTGGAAATAAGAGGATGAAGATGTTAATGTTACTATTAAGACGACATTCTAGTTGTTACCTTGATCGAACTGTTCAAATTATATAATATTCTAACTGAGTTCAAAATTAAAAAAAAATACACATTTGACAAACAAAGCCTTTGAAGTACCTGGCTTTAATTATTTAATACACTACGACTTAATACCGGCTTCAGAAGCTATTATGTGGAAATAGTTTTATATTTTTTTTTTAGTTTAGAAGTTGTTTTGTATTTTTTTTAAGTTAAAATAATATCATTGGTCTCTTATTATTAGCAAATGCCGTAATTAGACCTAGTTTATGAATGTAAAACATCGCACATCAAAACAATTCGAAATCCAATTGCAAATTACCTTCAATGCCAAAACCGGTAATAAGACACGTTAACCTTTTTTTGAAATCATTAGGTTAATAATTGATTATACAATTAACAAATTCTTATTAACGAATTTAGTGCGCATTTTTTTAACTTAACTACAGAAATGTTGTATGACCGGTCTTCGACGTTTTTATTTTAACTAATTAACAAGATCTTCTATACATGTTATTAAGTAACTATCACGCTAGATTATTCGACATTATTATAGCACATATGCCACATAAGGTGAGTCCGTGGCGTAGATAATAAAAGTAATAAAACATTAATAGTTCATTGATACAGTTCATTGGCTTGACTATTACAACGCAGTACTTGTAAACTAGTTACAACGAAAGTTTACAGTACAGTATGATGTCCCATTGACCGATTTTATACCACGGTTTCTAATCTGAATTTATCAACTACGTAGGAGCTGTACGTGCAAACACGGAGGCAGGCATTTGTTTTAACTTAACCGTGACTAGAGTAACATTAACTTGAGCGATACACTTATTACAACACTAGTTCCACAGCGTTGTATCCAGGGTATTCTGACCTATAAGAACTTAGGCTGTTCCATAATCACTATAAGTACCCAAGCTGTTTCGTAAATTGTTAGCAAATTATCGACCATTTGTATTTTGTGGCGGGAAATATATCACCAAATCCAAATATGTAAACATACCCAAAGAAAGGTTAAAAAATTAAACGCACATAATGGCTAAAAACTCAATAATAGATTAAAAAATGATGTCTTGATGGAAAAAAATGCCAAGAGCTCTGCTTCTTGGACTGTCGTTCAATATCATTCACTAATAGTTGCTATGTAATCATCTTATTTTGTCGCTTTTGAGCTACTTCTTCAAACCACTCAATCCTGAGAACATTTTTAATGATCACCTTCCCATATAACTTAAAATTCACGATACTAAATGTTAGCAAAGGTCATAAAAATCAAAAAAATGTATTACGTGTTGAATTTTCACTTGAAATTTCTTAATAGGTAATAGAATTTCATAACAGAAAAGCTTCAATTGTATACCAATCTGTTTAAAAATCTCTGAAACGCCCGCGTATATTAGAACAATTTTTTTATAGGATAAGGGTGACAAGCGAGCACACAGTCCACCTGATGGTAAGTGGATGCTGTGACCCATAGACATCTACACCTATCCTCGTTTGCGAATTAAAATACAGATGCTTTGTCAGCCGTGAGGACTAAGATGGAATGCCTCTTTTCCAGTAAAAAGGGTCTCCGTTTCTCTACACTCACCATACGAAACACAGCAGCATTAAGCTGCTATTTTACGCGTGTATTCTGTGAGAGCGAGATCCTTCCCCGGTCGAGCCGACCTATTCGTGCTACAACTATACAATTAATATAACTGCAGCATGGCTCTACCACGTTTAAATTTATACAATAATGAAGTCAGGAAAAATCGCGTGCAAAAGCTAGTTTGCAAATAATAACAGATATTAAAATTTTCCGGTATTGCCTAACGCAGTATTGTTGTCACGGCCTGAATAGCGCGGGCAGTATTATTACAACATCAATTTAATCATTCACCTCATTTAAATAACACTAAGATACAGACTTAATTTTATCTTTTTTTTTTTTAAGGAAACGTAAATATATAATATGGCAACCCATGTTGATTTATAAATGTATTATTTAGACTAAAAAGTCAAAATTTTAAACTAAATAACGGACTAAACTAAATATTTAACGATTGATGTTCAAGAAGAACGTTGTATTTAAGTTTAAGTAATAAATAAATAAACGGATTACTAAGCCGAAGTGGCACCATGTAGCTCGAAGAACCAACATCCGATGGGGAAAAAAGGTTCTCGAGTGGCAGCCTCGTACCGCTAGGCGAAGGGTATGCAAGAAGTCGATGGACGCAGGTGGCTCAACACCGTGTTTTGTGGCATTCCTTGGGGGAGGCCTATGTTCAGCAATGGACTTGTGAAGGACTGTAATGATTATGGTGAATAAATAAATACAAGTTATTAAAGTCGCAAAAACTATAATACATAGTCATATTTTTTTATAGGATTGGTTGACAAACGAGCACACAGTCCACCTGATGGTAAGTGGTTGCTGTGGCCCATAGACATCTACATCTATCCCCGATTACGAATCAAAATGCAGATACGTTGTAACACGTGAGTACTAAGACCATTGAGTTATATGTACTACTTACTAGAGAAGCCATTCCAAACAAAAATTGTGTCCTACTCTATGTCTTCGCGCATGCGCGGGAGTAGTAGTCGCGCATGCGCGAAGACTAATTTAATATAAAATAAGATATTAATATAAAATAAGTATAAGAATTTAATATAAAATATCTTAATTTAATCTAAACAAACATATTTCTAAATAAAATGTAATAATAATTATTTTATGGAATTCACAAATCTTCAATTTACGCAATATTTAGTTTGTAGGGATTGCACTACAGTTCAATTTAACATAGTCCATGTTCGGAATGGCTTCTCTAGTACGTAGTACATATAACTCAATGACTAAGATTGAATGTCTCGTTTCCAGTAAGAAGGGTTTCCGGTTCTCTACACTCACCATACGAAACACAGCAGCGTTAAGCTGCTATTTTGTGAAAACGTGGTGCTATATATTTGTAATCGTGTAACGGAACAAACAAAAATTGTACAACAATGAAAATGTGATCGGCGTTTAAAACATTTAACTTATTTGCCTTCTGTCAATACATGTGAATACTATAAGTTAAATTATCTTCAAGTACAATTGACCACTTCAGACCAAGTGAATGCAAAGCTTTAACAATTTTTTTTATTAGAACGGTATCAAATGCCAAATAATTTAATGTTAATAATTAACATTGTTAGATTTCGCCAAATACTCATGATAACAAAGAAAGATAGATAGAACTATTGACCTGTAGGTCAATGGACATAACATTAATCGATGCCGAAACCATGCTCTAAGAACACACATTCACGCAACACTTATTTAACTAGAATTATTTACAACCAGCAACAATCTAGTCTAGATACATTCAAAACTATTACAAATTAAATGTATTTGTTTATACCTATTCTTACTGTGCGTGTGTACGTGTTGTGTGCTTCAGTAACTGGTTCTCATAATATCAACCTAAATCATTTTTGCAAAAAAAATTGTATATTTAAAGCATAATGTGAACGCAGTTAATGTACCTAATTAAATACATACATTTATCCAATTTGAAGAACTTAATTTAAAACAAGCGCGCTCCTTATTCCGGAATTCTATACCTATTGAGATATTTAAAACAATCAAAGGCAGTTTTATGGTAAATAGGAAAAAAATTAACAACATATTAAATTTAGAAACAGTAAGGTCTATTCCACGGCTGTAGACTACATTTCTCACAACTGCACTACCGTCTAACTGATGGTAACTAGCTACTGAGGTCGATGGATACCTGCAGCTAACTTCAGATGCGTTGTCACCTCAGAGAACTAAAATGGAATGCGTCACAGCCTGTAACTATACTGACTGTGTATAACCATCACACGGTAGTGCACTTTAATTTGACGGCAGAAGTAGTTAAGGTATCTAACCAGATATTAAGAGTCCCTAATCATAAAAGGAGTTCCAGCACCTAAACCATGTTAACTGTTAACCCAGCACAGGAACTGCATGTAGCAAGGATTTGAACCTTCGTTTTGAGAGAAACGCGGTCTCCAATAAATAGATCAATTCATCTACAGGGGTCGCTTCTACAATATAAGTGATAATTAAAAATTTTGTACAACCGATTTCAATGTAAATTATTAAGAATAACTCAAAAACTATTGGTCAGACCTTGATCAAATTTATATGGGACCACATGTAAAGCACCAGCTTTCAAATAAAAAAGAATCATCAAAATCGGTTCAGCCAGAAAAAAGTTATGAAATAACACGCATAAAAAAACATATAGTCAAATTGAGTGAACTCATTTTTGAAGTCGGTAGATAAGCCTAGCTACTAGCGTTTGTAAATTAAGAACACTATCAGTATTCAAACTCTATGGTTCCTTTTTCTGTTTCTTTATTTTAGATCTTCTTACCTACACAGAGAAACTCTATACATTGCTTTGGTAGATTTCCGTAGCTAAATAATTAAATATATATGACCTACATATTCAAATTCTAAAGAATTCCAGATTTTTACTGAGTGTATTAATCAATTAATGGCCAAATATACTCAAGCGCTACTCAATTTTAAGATGCTGTTTAGTCTCGTTGAGATGTCGTTAAGTCTCGTGGTGTCACAGTCACTTTGACTGAAATTGATAGAGATAGCACGAGACAGCATCTTAAAATTGAGCAGCATTTGGGCATAACTCAATCAATGCATAAAAATGTTTTGCAATTTTTTTCAGTGGAAAACAAGATGGGGCTCCCTCCACCGTACGAACCCAGTATGCCTAATCCAGCGCCACCTCCGTCTTACTTTGGTGACAATCCACCACCGCCCACCGCACCCACTGCACATCCTCGTACGGTGGTCGTCACATCAGCTCCAACCACATCACCATCAGAAACGACGAGTGAAATAAAAATTGGGCCGGGGCCCACAGGAATAACGTGCCCAAATTGCAACAGATCTGTCGTAACCAGAGTTCATTACGTTTCTAACAATCGAACTCACATAATATCAGCTGGACTTTGTGTATTAACCGGGTAAGTAAAATAAAAATTCGTTCTTATACTGAGAAAAATATAACATTGAAAGTTAATCCTAGCTGACGTAAATTATAACAAAATCAATAATACTGAACGTGTTAAAAATTACTAATATACCTTTCTGATTTTAAGTAAACTTGTTGAAGAACTAAAATATAAAATTCTAGACCCAATATATATTTCAAGTGGTAAAATTAAAAATGTTGTACAACCGACTTCAATCTAAATAAAATGAGAACATCATCAATGTAGTCGAAGTTATTTAAATACTCATTATTAAGGATAACTCAAAAACTACTGGTCAGATCTTGATCAAATTTATATGGGGCTACATGAGAAGCTTTCCAATAAATTACCAAAATTGGTTCACCTTAAAAAAAAGTTTACTTTCTTTCTTCTCCTTTTTTGAAGTCGGTAGGAAAGACAAAGAATAAAATAATTTTACATTCTGAATTCGCTAAGGATTAAATAACGACTAAGATTAAATAATTCTGAAGCGATTAGGTTATTTTAATTTTAACATGTTTATAAAATAAAGAATAGAAGTTGTTAGCCCTCTTAAAAAATGTCTATGTTGTTTATGTCTTGAAAATAATAGATAATAAAATAGGTACTTGATCTTTTTCTGACCTAACACAGATACACTGATACGAGTACGAGTTTACTTTCATTTAAATAGCGTCGTTAATATGTTTCAATTTTATCAGTCGTAATTTGAATTTTTTTTTATATAGAGCGGGCAAACGAGCATGTGGCTCACCTGATGATCAGTGACTACCGCCGCCCATGAACAACTGCAACACCAGGGGAATTGCAGATGCGTTGCCGGCCTTTTAGAAAAGTGTAAGCTCTTTTCTTGAAGGTCCCTAAATCGTATCGGTCCGGAAAAATCGCCGGTGGTAAACAATTCCACAGAGAAGTTGTACGAGGAAGAAAACTCCTAGTAAAATGCACAGTCGTGGACCGCCAAGCATCCAGATGGTGAGGATGGTATCGTCAATTTTGACGCGATGTGTGTTCGTGAAATTTGGCGGCTGGGATTAATCCAAACAATTCCTCAGAGCACTCCCCGTGGTAAATGTGAAAGAAAATACAAAGGGATGCAACATCTCTTCGCAGTGCCAATGAATCAAGCCGATCGGAAAGGACTCGCCCGGCAGTAGAGTCCAAGGGGGAGGCATTGGCCGTTAGTTTGGACATAGCGAAGGCCTTCGATCGGGTCTGGCACAAGGCGCTTCTTTCGAAGCTTCCTTCCTATGGGCTTCCCAAGAAATTGTGCAAATGGATCACCAGTTTCCTTCCTGATCGGAGCATCAAGGTCGTAGTAGACGGTGCATGCTTTAATTTCAAGCCTATCAACGCTGGGGAGCCCCTGCCCACAGATGTGAACAGTATTCCATGTGAGGCCGAACCTGCGCCTTGTAAACTTGCAGGCGGTGTGCCGGCATGAAATACTGTTCCACTCTGCTGAGCACGCCAAGCTTTTTAGAGGCCAATTTGGCCTTTCCTTCCAAGTGACCACGAAAATGCACACTATTCGATATGTAGACCCCGAGGATTCCGATGCTAGCTGAGGCAGCAAGGGGAGTGCCTTGAAACTGAGGAGATACGACAAAGGGGTTCTTTTTAGCGGTAAACGCGCAAACTTGTGCCTTCTGAGGATTAAACTGGACTAGATTTAGTCAGCCCCAATCCGAGACTATGTTCAACAAAGACTCGACTTCAGACATAAGTTTGTCCCGGTACTCGGCGACGTTTTCCTGAGAAATATTGGCACGGCCGGTATATAAGGCATCATCAGTGCTGTCGTCTGCATAGCAATGAATTTTACTGGTTTGCAACATATCATTGATATGCAGGAGAAACAGCGTTGGTGATAGCACGCAGCCTTGTGGAACACCAGAGTTGATGGGCTTGAAATCAGAGCATGCACCGTCTACAACGAGCTTGATGCTCCGACCAACAAGGAAACTGGTGATCCATTTTCACAATTTCTCGAAAAGCCCATAGGAAGCAAGCTTTGAAAGAAGCGCTTTGTGCCAGACCCGATCGAAGGCCTTCGCTATGTCCAAAGTAACGGCAAATGCCTTCCCCTTGGACTCTACTGCCTCCACCCATCTATGAGTCATGTAGACCAGAAGATCACCAGCTGATCGACCCCGACGAAAACCGTACTGGCGGTCACTAATCAGCTCATGATCCTCAAGGTACCTCATGAGCTGGCAGTTTATAATGGACTACATTATTTTGGAGAACAAGGAGGTGATGGCGTAAGGCATGTAGTTGGACGGGTATGAGCGGTTGCCTTTTTTAGGGATCGGGTGGACCAAAGCTGTCTTCCATGAATTCGCGACTACGCCTTGGGAGTAGGAGTACCAGAAAAGACGCGCTAAAACCTGTGCCAACTCCGGAGCACACGTCTCCAGCAATATAGGGAGGAACTCCTTCAGGCCCACTCGACTAGCTGACGTCCAGGGAGAAGAGTGCTTTGCGAACCGAGCGCTGTGTAAACCGCACATCCGGCATCGAGTAGTCACACCGCAGGATGGTCGGCGGTGTGTTCCCCCCGTCATCTAGAGTCGAGTTGGACGCGAAAGAGAGAGCCTAACAGATCGGCTTTCTCCTTTGCGGCATGGGCCAGTGAGTCGTCCTCTCTGTGCAGAGATAGAAGAGATGGCGACAGAAATTCCCTTGGACAGCCTTGGCGAGAGACCAGAATGCATTCTGCCGATGTGCTCAGACCTTGCCTTGGCAATGACGCTTTTGAAGGACCTGGAGGCGGAATTATACTTCTTTTTAAGAGCGCAAGTGTTTACATCCCGAAACTTTGATGCGTCCAGGCCCGGCAGTACTCCTGCTTATAGCGTGATGCTATTTTACAGGAATGACTAAACCATGGCTGGGATCTGCCTATGATGGGCACCACAGAGGATGGAATAAAATTCCATACCCTGAACTACCACATCAGCAACAGAATCGGCAACAACGCTGGGATCTTCTGGCGAAAAGCACCCCGCCCCCAACGGTAGGATGCAAAAAAGACCGCATTCCGTCCCAATCGGCCGACCTATAGTGCCAAACACGGCGGCAAACTGCAGATCGCAACTGCGATGGGAGCGTGAGTGACACCGTACTCCGGATCAGACAATGGTCCGAAGAGCCCAGATGGGCATCGACGGAGACGTGATATCCGTCCGGATAAGAGGTCAGCAGAAGGTCCAACAGGGAAGGTACATGATCCTCCACATGATCCGCATAGGCGAAGTAACCAGTTGAGATAGACCATATGCCAAGGCAAAGTCATAGACAGATCTACCCGCACGATCGGTTAAACGAGAACCAAGCCATTCAGCGTGTTAGGCGTCAAAATCACCGAGTATCATCGATCTCTACGGATCTGACCTGTTGTAGCACGGAGTCTGCAGCCATATGGACGTGGTCGATGAGTCGGTCTGTGTTGGCATTACCGCTATGGGACCTATAGAGGCATCCGTAGACGCGGGGATGGTCGTCGCTGTCGACGTGCAGCCATAGGATATTAGTCGCGAGCAGAAGTTTGCCCCTCCCCCCCCCCCCCAGAATACGCGTAGCAGCCTGAGCACCCACGCTCAGAAGTGAAGTACTTTGGTCGTGGATGCTCAGCGAGGGATTTTCCAGGAGGGTAACAGCACCCCTGGAGAATCCCTCGCTGAGCATCCACGACCAAACTACTTGCGCAAGCACATGTGCAGTCTCTATTCTCTCACTCTCGTATTCCGATGGTGGATGGAGAATTCGACATTACCGGAGAGAGATTAGGCGTAGGACAATGGCTTTACGTGCTTTCCGAGGCACGGGAAAACACCGCCAACTTCCTGACATCGGGTTACTACTGACAATTTATTGACAGAAAAGCACAATAACAAATTTTGACCCGAACCCCGGATCTCATGGTCAGCAATCGCGTTTACGACCACTAGAACAACGAGGCAGTTCACATTCACAGACATAATATGTAACACCTACGTAAGATGTGTTACATATTATGTCTGTGAACACACAATGGATTAGCAGTATTGTGAATGGTGATTTTGTTTCAAGTTCTTTATTATTTTTATTTTTTACTTTTAAGGGTTTTAATTTTTTGCGCGGAGCCCTAATTATTTTTCTAAAATAAAAGTACCCTAAATTACTTCTTATAATATCAGCTATCTGCCAGTGAAAGTCCCCTCGAAATCGGTCCAGCCACTTCGGAGATTATCCGGAACAAACAGACAGACAGACAATAATTTAAAAAATTGTTTTTTGTTATTAGTACCTACACGGTACTTTATACTTTTATATGCATTTAGTAAAAAGCTGTTATTTTAACATTACAAACAGACACTTCAATTTTAACAGACAAACGGACAGACAGACAAAATTTTTAAAAATTGTGTTTTTGTTTTAATTACCGTATACACTTTCATATGTATTTAGTAAAAAGCTGTTATTTTGATATTACAAACAGACACTTCAATTTTATTTATTTGTATAGATAAACCAATATCAGTTTGCAGTCAATGGTTTTAAGTAACTCAGATTTTCCCTAGTCATGGAAGTTTTACTATATTCGCCCCTCTGGGAAAGCGAACTAGCTATCGCAGTTCCAAACGTCTTAAGCTTGTTCGTCACTGGTCTGGGTATGGTATAGCATATTCGAGATCCGATTGGTCACCCCGTCAAAACCACTACACGCAACACCGTTAATTCCCTTCCGGTCGAGGCGACTCGGTCGGCTATAATACAGTTGCAGTGTGACTCTATCACACAAAATATAACAACATCTTGTGATAATGATGAATTTTTTTTTAATTTGAATTGATTACATGGCCTACCATATATAAAAATTAAAATACCTACATAATAAAAAATGTTCATAGTATATATTAATATTGTTTAATAAAAATGTAACAATATGTTTCTCTATAAGTCATTAAAGAAAACAAATTTATTTTAATAAACATTAAAAATGAATGAATATAAGATGTTATTTAAAGTGCTAATATTTACAGGTGCTGTTGCGGTTGCTTCGTTCCGTACTGCATGCGTTCGTGCAAATCCGCAAATCACTTTTGTCCAAAATGCAGAGCATTTATCGGCACTTACACTCCTTCGTGATTACTTAAATACGTCATCAATAACTATATCTATTATTACATTTTTTCTTCAGGAAAAACTAATAGAATTATCAACAGCAACTTAAAAACTGAAATATATAATATATACACCTGTTCCCATTATATTAATTTAGCACATAACATAAATGCCTACAAGATTTAAAAAATATATCTGTATTATAAATGTATTAAATATCTAAGGTAATAAGTAAATCAAGAGATATTATTAAAAAAAACATGTGTGCAGTTACACACAGCAGAAGTGAAACCTTCAGAAAACTATACATCGATGGAATGATACAAAAATGTAGTAAACACGATATCCTGTATTCTATCTCATTCTCTTGCGGGCTAAATCCTATAGATACATATATTTATCTATTTTTAGTGTCGCAATTTCTTTCATCGAGTTTCAAAACACAACGATTCTAAAGAAGTTTTCACTTCAATAAAATTTAATCACAGATCACATAAAATAATTTTGTCTTGAATATAAATATTTAATATTGTCGATAAAAATTATAAGTAACATTACAATCAATATTCACGTATGGACACAATAATATGGAATCATGCTTTTATGTTAATATTAATTTAAAACGGCAATTCTGTGATATGTTTATAATTCATTATAGTTAAGTTCGAATTAGATTAAGGCTTGCATGTGGTAATTAGGACATTCAAACACGAATTTATGATTATTTTTAATAAATTTAATATTTTATTGCTAATGTATTCGTTTGTACTTAGAACGAAATTAAAATTTTATTCTTACATTTTCTACATTGATTTTATATAAAAATTCATTCAAAACCTACCTTTCATAAAATTAACTTCATTTTTTTATTTGATACCTTCAAGTTGCAGAAATTCTACTGAAAAGACGTCTCATGCGAATTCGTTTTCTATTTTATCTTTTGCACTGTTATAAAATGTATAAACTTATAATGATAAGTTTTACACTATATCCGAGATAATACTCAATTTTGTTACAGTTATACTCGTAAGTAGCAAAGTTACACGGGCAACAAAGTTGAACTGTGCAACAATAGCAAAATCCTTTATACAAACATTAGACACGTAATATCGGATGCATTGGAGTAACTTTAAAATCAATTGTAAAAAATTGGACACAAAAAACTCTATCAATACTCTAATATTAATTGAATTTGCATGCGTAACCCATTTAGGTTATTGACGAGACTTTCGCTGGCAGATAGCTGATGTTATAAGGAGTAACTTAGGCTACTTTTATTTTAGGAAAAGAATTAGGGTTCCGCGCAAAAAAAAATTAAAACCAAATTTCAATTATTTTTTATCAAATAGGTAATACTTCAGAATAATCTAAAACAAATTTGTTGAACAAGTTTCATCCTTAAGAGTAGAAAAAAGGGGATGAAGTTATAATGTAACTAGGTATTTAGACGACGTGCTAGTAGTTCTTACCTCGAGCTTGTAATATACCTTAGTCCACTCAAATAAGTCAAAAAATTTTACTTTCAATATAAAGTAAAAAAGGACTTCAAATAACTTTGACTAATAAAATAATTTCTAATTCTAAATTTATTTAAAAACTAAAGCCCTGAAGAATTTCATTCTTGAATATATTATACCTTAGTTAGCACTTAAGGAATTAAAAGTTTTCTTCATTTATTTTTATTTAACTATGTATAAAAACAATATAAATTTAAACTCGATGTTCACGCACTTAGTCTTCAGTTCGAACCTTACCCAAAATTGCGGTGTTTCTCTGACTGCACAATATGACACCAGGTATAGCACAAAATAACGTTTTTTCGTCACAAGCACCCTTGAAGGAAACAAGTTCGTTTACAAATGTACAGACAGCATTGTAAGAAAAGTTACGCACAGTTTTGGCGGCGGAAACAGACACGTTAGGTTAGCCAGACTCCAATAATGCACGTACTCACTATTGGAATTGTGCTCGAAATGTTTGCGAACAAATGTGCTGTACACAATTTTGGTGGAATCGTGGCTTAATGGCTATATTACTATAAAAATATCAACTCTAATTCAAACGTTTTGAAATTTACTGACTATAAAAAAATACATTGGCCACTAAACTTAAGGCTTAACTAGCTATGGACCTCGGTTTCATTATTATCACTGAGTTTCAACTAATAACCTTAAATAAAAACTGTTGTTCAAAATGAGAGCTTTAAAGCTGAAATAGTAAATTTATTACCAATTTCAAAAAATTGTTCTTCGTGTGTAAACGCCAAGAAACTTCTGACACTTTGGACAATAATGCTCGACGTTCTTCCATCTTCTTACAAAATAAGGTAGTAAACAACAGCATAGCCACCTGAAATGAAAAAGTTTGTGTCACGATAAGTATTTGCACACACTTTGATCTTATTATTTTTACATTTTAATACAACATTTGTTTTATTGTAACAAAACGCTTCTAAAGGTCCGGCCAGTAGAGTAGCTATGTAAGCAAGGGCCCCGGGGCAAAAATGAAATTAGGGCCCTATTTAAACTAAACTAAATACTTTAAAGGTGCAAAACAGACAACCAAATGCAGGTGGTCGGAGGCCTAACCCCTTAACATGGAAGTGTAATTAAAAAGAACATGCGTGAGTGTCTTGGAACACGCGGTTGGAACGAAGTTCCTTACCGTAGTACTTTTTAAATACTACTAATGATATTAAACATTATTAATATTCCCTTAAACCACTTCTGGTAAGCTTAAATGCTTGTTAGAAGTGGTTCACGGCAGTAGTCGAATGGCGGATTCGTACCCACGACCTTTCGAGTTTGTGATCAGCGCCCTGCCACTAGGCTACTGACGCTTCTAATATATTATTATTGATAAACGTATTATATGATTGATTAACAAATACAAACAAATGAATTAGCGTCTATTAAAATGAAGCGTCATTTCAAATAAAATAATATTTCTTTCATGGCAAGATAAGTAAAAGTGCAAGGAAGATGTGTATTAATTCCTTATAGCCGCAAAGGCCGTCTATACTACGCCAGAAGGGTCGTGACGGAAAAATCTTACACTTTTTCTCGCCTAGCCCCCATCCGCCAAATTCGTACCGTCCGATAAAGAACTTTGTTCCAATAAGAAACCATCCCAGGAGGGTACCAGCACCCCTCGTATTGGAGACTTCTTGGTTGAGCATCCACGCCCAAGCTACCTTACTCTTGTTGAGGGGGGGGGGGGGGAGCGAAATTTACAAGACTAATACTGCTCGTGACAAGTAGAGCAATAAGATAAAGGTGACGCCTGCCATGCTCTCCGTGAATTTCTGCAACATCGGGGGATTTCATTCGAACGTTAACAAAGTCCACTAGGTATAATCTGAAGACGGCGAAGCCGACCTTGCTCTTTCTAAACGAGACGCAGGTGTCCTCTCCGGTCGATACTTCTCTCTTATCCGGGATACAAATTAGAACACATTTGTGCCTCGGGCTGGAGTTTGCGTATACGTCAGAGAGGTCATCTGTACTCAACGCCTCGGCTCTATAGGTAATGACGACACAGACCAACTCATCGACCATGTCCAAATCACAATACAATACAACAGGCCGGTGGTGATTTTAACCGCCACCACGCTGAAGGGCTTGGTTCTCGTTTAGCCGATCATGCAGGAAGATCTGTTTGACTTTGCCTTGCATGTGGTCCGACACAAACGGTTACTTCGCCTACGCGGATTCTAGATGTGCAGGATCTTGGACCTTCTACTGACCTCTCATCCAGACGGATATCAAGTCTTCGTCGACGCCCCTTTTGGCTTATTGGACCATTGTCTGATCCGGAGTATGATGCCATTCACACTCCTATCGCGGTTACGTTCTGCAGATCGCCGCTGTGTTTGGCACTATAGGTTGACCGATCGGGACAGGATGCGATCTTTTCTTGCATCCTTCCATTGAGTACAGGGGCGGGTATGCTTCTCGCCGGATGATCCCAACGTCATTTTGTCGCTGTTGTGGTACTTCAGGGAATGGAACTCTTTATTGTGTCATTTGTGGTGCATGGTTTGGTCGCTCCTGTAAAATAGCATCGCGCTATAATAGGAGTGCTTCCCAAGCGCTGTTAAAAATAAGTATAATTTTGCCTTCAGGTCGGTACAATACGGTTTATACAACGCTCGGTGCGCATAGCACTACTCTCTCTAAACGTCAAGTCGATGGGCTTGATGGAGTTCCTCCCATTGTGCTGAAGACGACTGCTTTCTAGTTGGCACTAGTCGTAACGTGTAGTCCCGACCTCAAAGAAGACAGCTTTAGTGCAGCAAATCTCTAAAAAATAACCGACAATGGACTTAATGGATTGTTCTCGAAAATAATGAAAACCATTGTGAACTGCCAGCCCATGAGGTTGAGGATCACTTACTGAAAAGTGACCGCCAGTACGATTTCCGTCAGGGTTGCTCAGATGGTGATCTTCATGCTTACCTGACTCATAAATCAACGGAGGCAGAGAGGGAGACACTGGCCGTTAGTTTGGCTATAGCGAAGGCCTTTGATCGGGTTTGGCACAAAGCACAAAGCGCTTTTTTCGAAGCTCGCATCCTATGGGCTTCCAGAGAATTTATACAACTGGATCAGCAGTTTTCTCATAGATAGGAGCAACAAAGTCGTAGTAGAAGGTGCATGCACCATTTACAAGCGTATTTATGCTGGTGTTCCACAAGACTACGAGCTATCACCTACGCTGTTTTTTCTGTTTATCAATAATATGTTTCAAACCAGCAACGTGCACTGGTGATGCTTTATACACCGGCTGTGCCTAATGCCTATATTTCTCGGGAAAACGTCGCTGAGTAGGTACCAGAACAAACTTATGTCTGAAGTTGAGTCTTTGCCGGATAAGGTCCCGGATTGGCGCGACTAAATATAATTAAGTTCAATGGCCTGAAGACACAAGTTTGCGCGTTTACCACTTAAAAGAACCCCTTTGTCATAACTCCTCAATTTCAGGGCACTCCCCTTGCTGCCTCAGCCAGTATCGGAATCTTCGGCGTTGACATATTAAATAACGTGCAGTTTCGTGGTCACTTAGAAGGAAAGGCTGAAATGGCCTTTAAAAAGCTTGCCGTGCTCAGCAGAGTGGGACAGTATTTTATGCCGGCACACTGCTTGCAACTTTACAAGGGGCAGGTTCGGCCTAACATGGAATACTGTTCTCATCCCTGGGCTGGGGCTCCCTAGTACCAGTTCTTTCCACTTGACCGTATCCAGCTCAGAGTGGCTCGAATCGTCGACGACCGACGAAGACGAAAGACGAGACGAAGAGATGTTGCATTCCTTTGCATTTTTATCGCATTTACTACGGGGAGTGTTCAGAGGAATTGTTCGGATTATTTCCAGCTACAAAATTTCATCAACGCATTTCACAAATCCACACATTATCGGGATGATTGGCGGTCCACTACTTTCGAACCGATACGACTTAGGGACCCCCAAGAAACGAGTTTACTCTTTTAGTTTGTCCCCCTCTTCTATATAAAAAAGACAATAAAACGAAGTAAACAATTGTCTTTAATAATGTTATATTTATGTTCTGGAAGTTTGAGTACTTTTTGTGATTTCAATTCGAGCCGTTCGCGGTCAGGAGCCAAAAAGTTAAAACTGAAAAATTCTTTATACAACTAGGGTAGTATATAATTTTACGAACGTCGCTCTTGGAGGCCGAAGGGCCCCTTTAGCTTGGGGGCCCCGGGGCATTGCCCCGCCCAGCACCAGGGTAGCTACGCCACTGGGTCCTGCTTGGAGTTTAAACACTAAACCGACAGAAGTTCTCTATATTTGAATACCTACTGCAGAAATATTACCCATATTTCAATTACTATATACTTAAGTAAATTACAAAATAAAGATCAATGTCCTGCAATATTATATACTTATGACTGTAATTAAAAACCTGTATCCGCAAATGAGATTAAAAGTAAACTTACCAAAACAAAGCTCCGAGAAAAATTGAGACGAGGTGAGTTACAGTTGTGTTTTTGTATACTGCCTCGGTCATTACGTCCTCGTTGCAGTAAGGGCAACGCATGCCCACTGGCTCAGACCCCACTCGAAGCAAATCCATTTCAATACAAACATCATTGTTACTTTGTGAAATCTGCTGATATGCATTCGAATCCACTAGAACGAAAAGGGGAAAAACTACAATTCAAACCGCTAGTAGGTATGCCTCTATGAATTTAGCTAGATGACCATTAAATACTTTATGTACTATTTTGGTTGTAAATATACAAAATAAAATTCAAACGGTGATTAGGTACAATAAATCACTAAAACAGATTTAATAAAAGACTGCTTAGAATTCTAAACTTACTTGCTTTCTGGATCTCTAGCTACCGGCCAAATAAAATTAAAACGACATAAAAAATATATTTTTAAATATTTAATCCAAGAACTGTTAGTATAAATATTAGAAAGTGTCCCTTTTCTTTCCTTTGCCAACTATTTCAGAGTCACGAAGCCAATAATTTTGAGAAGATTTGAGAGTGATTTTGATCACAGTGCTTAAAAAGGGAAAAGAACTTTGTATGAGAGAAAAAAAACTGAAGAATTGTTAAATACTACTTGTTTGTAACTGAACGTGTGATATCAGAAAAACATGATATCCTTTGATTATCGAATGGTTAGATAGATAACGCTAACTGTGTTACAAGTGCACCTAAATGTGTCGAACGGTATGAAAATAGTATTATATAAAGTCTGACAATGCAGGTGTATTCTCTAACTTTGTAACTTCACAGCAAATTTACGTTAGGTTGGGTAGGTTTATTATATTCAATGCATAAATAATTTCAAGAAATCTTAAATTTTTGTATTTTTGACATATTAATACCGCGTGACGTCGTTGTAAGAGATTACTATGTTGTGATATCCCAGAAAGAGCGCATGCTATTCGATAGATGACAGTATTACCACCATCATACACTAAATGTAAAATACAAAGACCAGGAAAGGAGACAGTGTCAAAGGTGTGTGATATGAGGTACTGTGATCGCCAATTCGCAAGACAACTGAAGAGAATGTCCACCAAGAGACTGTTACATACTGATAAAAAAGAATACCTTTAAGAAATAATACAAAAGTAGACGACTAAAGTCAAGAATAAAATGTTCATTATTTAAAATATTTGGGATGGAGATTGAGGAATGGATAGACATTTAATTTACCCCACTTGTAATGTAGGTAAAAACAGTAATACACATGATTGTATATTATGTTTATTACTATTTTTATTAATTGACGGAGATACCGTGCTGGTGTTACATCAGAAGTGGGAACGTATTTATAGAGTTCATGACCTAAGTATTGTATTTTTGTAGTAAAGTTTTAAAGAATATTACTAGATGACAATTTGAGTAAATCACATTACTGAAAGGATTAGAAAGAAAAATTCAGTTTCGCTACTCCAGTGCGTTCTTGTATACTTATGTCACTAATTAGTCTTATATTTTCTCGGTCATCCGGGTTTAGGTACCCAAATATTTTATTTTTCGCTAAAATTAAATCTACAATAATTGTTATGGTGGCACTTCACATGGCTATTTGTATTTGTGATTGCATGTTGCCGTATTTGGCAAAAAATTTGAAGTACGGGCAAATAAACGATACAACCGTCCACACATGGAGCCAAATACCAAAAAATTAAACATGTTTGCTAGCAGAAAGTAGTTGTACCTACAAAATGGACGTTACACTCGCAGCTGAATTTTATTATTTGAACGCATGTTACTATTATATGTTATGCGTATAAAAAAATAAAAATACAGTGATGAAAAAACGACCAATAGCAAGGCGATGGTGGATGCTGACTGTGCATAAAAATCTAACTATCCGTAATTATGCAAATGCAAACCAACTTGGTTGGTACACATCGGCTGCACCTGATCCGGATCGTTCGCTTTTCTTTATTTTGGTTTTGTAACCTCGATACGCAGATGTTAAGTTGAAACTGTACAAAAAGGGTTATTATAGTATAAATGAATACATGGTTGATAATAACCCCTGGGAATGAGGTGGTCGCTACCAAGCTGTTTCTAAAATAAATTTTGTACTTATTTAGTTTACAACCATTAATATAAAATTCGCTTTAAAAAAAAAGTCCCGCTGGGTTTTTTGCTGGTTCTTCCCAGGACAGAGGTTTTTTTTCGAACCAGTGATAAAGTAAACAATGACTTTCAATAAGAATTACACATGTGATCTATATTAAATAAAAAATTATTCTATTCTATAAACATAAGCGACTCCTTTTTGACTTGCAGGGTACATAGTAGCCCCAAATTGTCTTTAATGGTATTTCACGCGTCGTTATCTCGTTGCCGATTTTTATGCCACTCGTTTCCGGGGTCCCAAATACATTCATTTAGTAAAGTTCTAGAAACCTTACAACGGTTTCTTTGTTCTAATTCATTTGCCGTAGGTACCTAAATAATTACTTATTAAGAGGTTATAAACAGGTCCGTCCGTACTGGTTGACAGTTCGCGCGCTTATGAGCCCGACCATGTGTGGCCAGTATATTTGCGTATTTGCCTATTTGTCTCCTTTGATGAGTCTTGAAAAACCGACAGACAATCGGTAAGCCGTATTTGTTATTGCCTATATTTGGCAAATAGGCAAATACGGCCATAATTATGGCAAATATACTCTCCACACATGGAAGTTATTTGTCAAGTACCTCAAATACGCAAATACAAATAGCCATGTGAAGTGCCACCATTAAATGGCTAATTACGCTAGAGGCCTGTGTTACGAAAAAAAACCTTGTGTGTGTGTACTTATGTACGCACGTAAGAAGTTATACCTCTTTATAGTAACAAAACAAAAATAACTAAAATAAAATACGTTTTATGACGCCACTTCACATCATTTATCAGTATTTGCCGTATTTGACAAATAACTTCCATGTGTGGAGAGTATATTTGCTATACTTATTGGCGTATTTGCCTATTTGGCAAAATAGCCAATAACAAATACGGCTTACCGATCGTCTGTCGGTTTTTCAAGGCTCATCAAAGGTGACAAATAGGCAAATACGCAAATATACTGGCCACATATGGTCGGGCTCATAAGTCTCCGCTAGGAGTAAACGTATTCTGAGCTCATAAGCGCGCGAACTGTCAACCAGTACAGACGGACCTGTTTATAACCTCTTAATAAGTCATTATTTAGGTACCTACGGAAAATGAATTGGGACAAAGAAACCGTTGTAAGGTTTCTAGAACTTTACCAAATGAACCCATGCATTTGGGCCCCTGGAATCGAGGGACAAAAAAATATAATAGTAACATGCGTTCAAATAATAAAATCCAGCTGCAAGTGCAACGTCCATTTTGTAGGTAAGATTACTTTGTTTTTATCTACATGTTTAATTTTTTGGTATTTGGCTCCATGTGTAGAGTGTAGTGTAGAGAGGTTGTATCGCTTATTTGCTCGTACGTCGAATTTTTTGCCAAATACGGCAACATGCAATCTCGAATACAAATAGCCATATGAAGTGCCATCATTATAGATTCATATATGTATTCGAATAACTACCTCGAATATAGTTTTTTTTTTATTCAATATGGCCCTTGATATTGTGGTTATGTCACAATAATTCTGCCAATGTCCGGTCTTTGGTCTGTCACACCTTGTCTTGAGGCTTTTCGGTGGGAAAAGAGTTAGCGGTTATTAGGAGAAAATGTGGATAAAAACAAAGCAACTAAATACATGAATTGTGAACCAAACAATATAAAGCAAACATCTAGTTTGTAGTGTTATGCTACTTACATATCATTTTACATTATTTTAAATTCATTTTTCCATTCTGTTTCGATTTTCTGCATTCACCTCAAAACTGGATATTTTACATCACCTTTATTTCCATAGGATCCTGTAACGATTTTAAACCATAAGAACACAATAACAAATAATTTCTACTTCGTATTTTCACATTATCAGCACTTTTAAATTGGTGTCCATGGAGTCTACCTTTTTTCGATCTTTTATTTAGTTTTCCGTAACTCTGCAATTTCGGACTTTGTGCGCGCAGTTGCGCTACCTTTTTTCCTATATCAATAATATCTCATTTTTCACTTAAATCTTGCCGTTTTTCTATTACAAGCCTAAAACCAAAATTTGACATGTTTTGACATCGTTGTTTATTTGGTCGCTATGATAATTATATTCAAATTTGCTACCGGTCTGTTGTTTCTATTTCGATAATTCTACATAAATACTCTTTCCTCTTGACCATTTACAAAAAATTTGCGTTTAATTTAAATAATTTTTTCGTTCTCTCTAGAAAGGTATAAAAGCCGAACAATCGGTGAAGAAATTCAGTCTCGCTTCAGTTCTCGAGTTCGAAGCATCTCCTAAAAGCCTTATCCCGGGGCCACACTGCCCCGGGATCCTGCAAGCCTCTGTCCTGCCTGGAGCCACTGGACTCTACGAACCTCTGCTCTACCTGAAGTCGCCGGGATCCTACAAGCCTTTGCTCTGCCTGAAGTCGCCGGGATCCTACAAGTCTCTGCTCTGCCTGGAGTCGCCGGAACCTGCAAATCTCTGTCCCGCCTGAAGTCACCGGAAACTGCGAACCTCTGTCCCGCCTGAAGTCACCGGATCCTGCAGGCCTCTGTCCTGTCTGAAGTCGCTGAGGATCCTGCAAGCCCCTGTCTGGCCTGAAATCGCCGGATCCTGCAATCACCGCATTCACCTGAGGTCGTCGCCTAGAGACGCCCACGCCTTCTCACCTACGCCGTGCGTGCTCGTTCCAGGCGCTGAGAGCACACTTTGGTTCTTCAGACTCAACTTCGACTCTAATCTTTTTTTTATTACCTTTTTTTTAAAAAAAATTTGTAAATCACGTCATCCATCCTCATCTTCATACCCCATTTTACTATATAAAATTGTAAAAATCTTATAAACCTTAAATATATTATTTGTTTTTGTAGTATTTTTGTTGTTTTGTTGCTGTTAGGTTAGATTCTTTTATTTTTAATTGTCGCTTCACGACATTTTGGCGCCCAACGTAAAAGTTCTCTTTCTCTTTTCCTCACCTTTACTGCGCCTTGTCCATTCCTTTTGATTTAATTGCTTCCTCTTTCGTTCTTAACTCTTTATTTATTCATCCTTTTCATATCTTCCAAATTCTAAAACAACACTTCATCTAGTGTTTCAACTTATCTAGATTATATTTAGACCTACATTTAACACTTCACTTACATTCATCACTTTAATATTTTTATTCTAGATAACTTAAAGAGGTATAATTTTTTAATTAAATTTTTATTTCTTAAACTTAACTTTACAAATTTGACGCTATTACTAAACAATTCGAATCCTTGACTCCACCTTCAAGTGAAAATGACTCTCCATCACTTGACCCTCCTGTTGACCGGACTGTCATGGAACCTCCTCTTGTTTCTCAAACTTCTGTTCAGATCCATACCCCGTATCCTTCACCACCACCTCAATCTTTTGTATATATGTATAAATATCACATTTAATTTGTATATATGTATAAATATCACCATCATTTTCACCTTATTATTTCTTTCTTTTTATTTTTATTTCAGACACATCTCGTTAGCGATGTTGCTGATCTCTGGCTTTGAGCCCTACCGCTCTGGCCGTTCTTCATCTTTACTTAAGTTATAACGACTAAAGCTTACTTAAAATATTTCTTTATCTTTATCTTCGTTTGGGAGCGGCTGACTACTCCCTTAATAATTTTTTTTCCACGCAGGAGCGGATGACTACTCCTTAAATAAGCCTGAATGTCCTTTCGAAAACACACTTTTAGAGTGGTAGTCATTGAATGTGAACTCCACCCTTATCTGAATGCAGATGATGAATGTAAGAGATAGTATATCTGATTTTGCCTGGTGATGTCTGTTTCTGCAAAGCTGTGTTTTTATGGTTTATTTTAGAATGTATATATCAAAATTTTTGCTGAGTCAAAAATTTTCCAGGGTCGGGGGGAAAATGTAGTGTTATGCTACTTACATATCATTTTACATTATTTTAAATTCATTTTTCCATTCTGTTTCGATTTTCTGCATTCACCTCAAAACTGGATATTTTACATCACCTTTATTTCCATAGGATCCTGTAACGATTTTAAACCATAAGAACACAATAACAAATAATTTCTACTTCGTATTTTCACATTATCAGCAC